GGCATTGTCCTTAGCATGTCGCCCATCAAGCAAACTCTAGTAACATTGACGACGATCAGGCAAAATAACATGCGCACACTGCACGAGTGGGATCCTGATAAAGCAGCATCGACAACACAGGCGACATGTTACGACATAACACGATAGTGAAGCTGTGGTACTAGAAAGTCGTGTTCCAGCTCCGTCCTTGCATCCCCCATCTTGCAATGGAGTCCCGCTTCAGCTTCAAAGCCACAAATGCTACGCACATCACACGTCAAGAAGCCTACCAGTTACCAGCACAGCCAGCTTCTTTCCGAGATGAATGGTTGGACTGGTGATGTTGAAGCATGATTCCTGATTTCTCCGTTGACAGCTGTGGATCAATGGCGACCACATGCGACGATGCAAGATGTGCACCGGCATGCTTCGACAAGGTTTAAAGTCGGACGGCGAGGGTATGGAATCATGTTGAAACCAACGGTATTGGCAATCCTTCGACATGCATAAAACACAACGAAAACCGGCGAGTTTAGAAACAACTACTCAATTGACTTGGCAGCTGCGCAGCCAAAACATAGGGGCGCAGCGACGACAGGCGCGGTATGACTCCGCGGTTGTACACGAAGACCAAGATGCATTTACATGCTGTCATGTGATTGTTGCCCACAGGCCCCGTGTTCGGCATCAGGTCATCTCTTGATTTGTAATTTTGTAAGCCAGCGTACAAGTTGCAGGCTCCAGCTTCCAAACGGTACCGCCATAAAGACCCCCAGTTCAAAACACTGGCCTCACTAGGCCAGGAAGACCTGAACCAGTCTGACTTGCAGTTTGGACGGAAAGACACAGAACATTGTGGACCACTTCCTCCTCTCGGCTGCTGAGAAGCGCAATATTTCTGTCTAGGCGCTGTGCCTACGTCCTATCTGTCTGGCATTGTGCTGTCACAGTGAAACGAAGGGCAGAAGATTGATTCTGAAGCGAAGACTTCCCGCTCCATCTATGGTCGAAACAAGCCCCAGAAGGCTCTTTACATGCCCATGTAGAGCACATCAACTTGACAACTCTGGTGGGCGTTTGCCCAGGAAAGGATCTTGAGTAAGTCTCTGCTCAATGCCGTGTAGCAGAGGTCCATCGTGAGAGAGCTTCCACGCAGCCGTCTGATAGTAAGACTGAAGATCAGCTTCGAGAGTTTGCCTTTCATGCTTCTTCGGGCTCTTCTTCAAATTGGCCCACATCCGTAGCCAAGAATCTTGGGTCCCGTTTGAAGCATTATGTATTGGCCGCTTTGTGGGCTTTACCTGTGGCTTGGCTGTGGTCGGCTTGCCTGTACGTTGGTAAGAGTACTGCTTCAAGACGTCTTCGTACAGCAAGGTTTTGAGGCGAGGTGGCCCGCGCAGCTTCGTTGGAAGCTCTGACTCGTCGTTACCCTTGGACGTGGGAGATGAAGAGGTGTTGAGATCTAGCTGTTCAAGCATCGCATCAAAGATCCGAGTGCTGGCCTTTTCGTCCTGGACGGTCTCTTGATTTTCCTCTTCACTGTACTTCATGCCCATTCGCGCTTGCAACTTCAAGTCGGTCACGAGCTTGTGCATGGGGGCGAGATCGGTCTTCACATCGTTCCGTGCTCGCATGTCCAAGTCCTCTGCAGAAAGCCTGGTGGCAGTACCTGCACCGCAGGACTGCAAAGCTGCTAAAAGCCTCCCAATGGTGGCCTCACCATTGTTGCAAACATCCAAGATGTCAAAGAGAGCCTGAGCGGGAACACCTGCTAACTCTGCTGAGTCCTTGCCATCGCACAGTCCAACTTCAATCAAGTACGAAGAGAAGGCATTGTTGTCCATAACTTTCATGAAATCCACATCAGGAAACGCATCTGTGATGTGCTCGTGTTGCTGGCGACAGGTGACCCGTAGATCTTCGAGCACTGCGGAAGGTGAGAAATGCCTCACACCCCTCACGAACTCACGCACCGAGAGGTGGCCGTCATGATCAATGTCGATCAAGTTGAAGAGAACCTTCGTCTCCTTCTCGCTCATACTAAGAGGCAGGAGCAACTCTTGGAAGTTCTGTAAGTTAAGCCTTGGTGCAGACTCGCATTCGTTTAAGGCGCTGTCATGGAAAGCATTGGCGAACTGGGCCTTGAAGCTGCGAAAGCGCTGTCGGACCTTCTTCCGGAGATCCTCCAAGAAGAGGGAGGGCTCTGAAAGCCCGATGGCACAAACGAACTCATTGCGGGAAATCTCACGAGAACCATCCACATCAATCTCGCGAAACATCTTTCGAGCTTCAATTTCCGTGAGGCTAAGGCGATCCATGGCCTTCACCACGAACTCATGCTGATCAATGCATCCGCTCCGGTCCATGTCCAAGTCGGCAAATGCTCTCTTGAAGTCACCGTTGTATTTCTTGTGCAAACGATCACGTAAATCTTCTAGAAGTAAACAAGGTGAGACAACGGCCACGGCACTGGCCAAGTCGCCAATGGTGACCCGAGCCTTACTCAGGCTCTTTTCTTTCTGATGCTCCTTCTGATAGCACAAGGACTTGAAGAGGGCCAAATGCTCCTCGGGCTCATTCACGTTGACTCGCAGCAATCGCTCACCGAACTCCTGCAGTGAAAGCCGCAAAGAGAGTGCGTGAGCAGAGCCTTCGGTCATGGTCATGATGGCTTGATGCATGGAGCCGAACTGACTGGCAAGCCATCGTCTGCGCAAATCCTCAACGCTTCGGACTGGAGCAGAAGCCTCGACGATCACATAGAAGCCGACCATGGTCACACGTCCAATCGACTTGAAATCCAGACGATCGAAGATCGTGTCCCGGGCATCTTTTGTTTGCCACTCAAAGCCATACCGAGCCAAAGTTCTTGACAACTCAAGCTTCGTGATCTGCCTGGCTGTTTAAGACAGGGGCCAAGCTGCTACACCTACAGCATCCTACATACAGCCCACAAGCACAGGAGCCTAAACCAGGGAAAAAATGTCCCACGGCCCCTTTCGCAAGCCTGTCTGGCAAATCCTTCATGAAGTTCTCGAACGCTTCTTTCACCGTGCTGAATTTCTCCAGTATTGCACGGCGAAACTCCTCCATCGCCCCTCGAGCCCCAATCGGAGTAACAACTGTCGTGTTCAAGAGGGGTGAAAGTGGGCTCCGGATGGATGCAGGCTGTGATGGCTTGGTCTTGAAGCTGGGTGCGCTAGCCGACTCTTTCATGGGCTTCGGAGGTGGGGCGAGTGAAGCTCGTCTTCCAAGCTGGAAGGCCATGGACTGGCGCCGACCATGCCTGCTAGCTCTGCCCACGTCTTCCTTCTTGTTGCTTCTGGGAAAGATGCGGTTCAACACCTTGGGAGCGACCAAGAACAGGCCTAGACTCTCGCACTCGGTATTCTTAAGTATCAGTCTGTCTGAGGTATTGATCCGAGAGTCATCCCCGACAAAGGCTTCTGTCGCCAGTGGCTGCACTTCCTCGGCCTTTTTCTTCTCAAGGAGAAGGCGCTGTGCCTTCTCTCGCGCCCGAGCTTTTTCGGCCTCTGTTGCACCACCCAAGCTTTCTTTGAATCGGGCATGCTGGTAGAACTGGCCCTTCAGCACAGGCAGAGCATGCCAGTTTTCATCCGACAGGCTCTGGCGAAGTTCGCCGAACGTTTGCCAATAGACTTGGGACTTCTGCTCGAACTCAGTGGATGGCAGTGGTCGCGTCTTGAAGCATTGCAACTCGTCGGGCGAAAATCGCTGACTTGCTGGCTTCTGTCGTGGACCCTGTTCACTCTGAGGCCTTGAGAGCTGTGAGAACTGTGGTTGGCTAGCAGGCCGCGAACTGACTGCGCCATCGCCGGCACCTGAAACTCTCTCCACAAGTCAGGACTCAGAGTATCTACTCTAACATACTCTAACCACATGCTCTGCTCTGCCCTGCAAGCAATCGAGGCGGCGACACCAGCCCCCAACAGCAACTGCTGTTTCGCTTCGACTCTTCGCAAGAACTATCTCGCCTGCACTGCAGGGTCGAGAAATCCCTTTCCAGTCATCGTCTTCAATTTCCCAGGCTCTCAAGGCATCGGCTACTTCGGGATCGACCGGTGCCATTCTTTGACAGCTCTTGAGAAGAAAGGCCGCGGTCACAATGCTTGTCAGGGTGAGGCTTTTGCGTTCCTCTGTGCTTGTGGTCTTCTTGGGGCCAGCAGGTTTGCATTCTCACGAAGCATGCCGAATGAAAGTACGTGGAAAAAAACTCGGCCGATGGACTTATCTAGCACTCTATGTTCCCACGCTGCGACGCAAAAAAGGCCAATGTGTTACGTGTGTGTGTATATATATATATAGATATATTTATGTACATGCATACAAACAAAGCCATGCGTTTATGTATACAAGAGCAATTAATTAGACACGCATACATCTGCAGTCATGTGGACGCTAGTGATCTTGCTGAGGTGATGATATCTTTTGCACCGGTGATGGCCCGGGGCGCAAAGCCTTGTCCGCAGCAGTGTGTTCTTAATGCTGCAGAGTCTGAGCAGAACTACTAGTACGTAGATTTTGAAAGCGCTGGTGTCTCACGTGCATCGAACCCACAGGGAGTTGAAGAATCATCCAAGAACCCACCGTCAAGCTACCTCGCTCAGCTTCATGCCCCCACACTTTCGATGCACGGGTTTTCGTAGTTAGCCAGCCCTCACCTGCATCTTGGATTCAGGGAGTCGGGAGGCCAGCATATGAACAAATGCAGAAGTTAAAGCAGTGCATACATGTGCCGCGGCAGGCAGCACGGACGAACTACAATCTGTTGCCTGTAGCAACACCACGTGCCTTGCCTGGTGGGGTGAGACTCGGCCTTCCGGGTGAAACCCGAGGAGCTCTGTCGTCCGCAAAATTCTTTCCATGGCTGCCAGCCCGAACGCTGACTCTGAGGGGCGGATGTGGGCGGATGCCGTTGCTGCGACAGAGCTCGTAAGGACCTTACGTGCACAGGAGGCTTCTAGAGATTCTAGAGCCGCGGAGCCTCCATGAGATGCCATTTACGGAACTCCACGGAGACCTCCAACACGGGCCTCATGGATGACTCCACATCTCAATCAGTGCTCGGACGTTCTCTTCAGGCCGAGTGGCATCCAGACGGTCTATGGCTACGGGGCTGGCAGTGGGGCTGCTGCCTGCATTCCACATGGAATTCTGTGCAAAAGGAGCGCCACCCGTGCATTGGGAAACACTTGCAAAATACCACAACTCCAGATGTGGTTTGACACTGGCCGTGAGCTAAAAGTGCCTTGATTCAAGCCGCCACCCAACGGTTCCAGCCGGATGCCTGCCTGCGCAAAATAGTTGCAGGGCTAGGATGCTGTGCACATCGTTCCACACCGCTTCATGTGCCGCGAGATGATGCGATCCAGGTTGGGCGGCAAGGCTGTGTGATGAAGACCGCTGAAAGACCCGGGCTTTGCTCTTCAAGAGCTTCACGCACCATAAAGGCAAAACATGGCCGCCTTCACCTTCACATGGCCCTTGCCGGTCATCCCCTGGAGCAGTGCGGCAATCCACACCGGCCCAAGAACAGTCAACTCTGTGAACAAATCCTGGCCTCGTTATGCTCACCGAACCCTGGCAGGTGCGGTGCATCCGGGTGTAGGCAATGGGTCAAGCAAAGGATGACGTCTAAAGTTGAGCCTGCGTTGTCCTCCGAGCCGGACCTGACTGTGTAAAAAGGACCCTCGACGGCTTAGGGCTGAGATGAGACGTAAGCTTGGCTCCTGTCAAGGATGTTGCTTAAGTTACCATAATAGGGATCTATGGTCAATAATCCGGCTTCCTTATTATGGTAACTTGAATTAGATCCCCTAACGAGAACCCAGTAAGGAGACTCCAAGGCTTTGGCGCAGGGACCGTGGCGCTGCTGGAGGTCGCAGCTGCTGGGGGCCTCAGTAGCCGAATTGTGGGAGGCCCCTTCAAAAAGGGACCCTCTTCTAGAACCCCAGAATACCCCCTTTAAAGGAGCCTTCATTGGGACCCTCATTGCAGAACCATAAACCCTACACCCTGAACGAAGATCGGCCAAAGAAAAAAAAACAGGGCAGGCCTGGCCTTGCCCCGGGAAGGTCGGACTGGGAGCCGACGGGCTTCTGCAAAAAGGGCTCAAAGAGCGAGAATCATTTAAGCGCTGCTTGCAAGGGACACATGTCCAGCGCTGCTGTGGGGCCTCTTCCTTTATTTTTTTGCTCTTTTTTTCCTTCTTGTCCTTCTTCTTCTTTTTCTTCTTCTTTCTGTCATCGCCTTGGACGCACCGGGTAAGGAGACTTTGAAGTCTTGTAACGGCTTGGCGACTGCTGAGTCTCCAGCTGTCAGAGTCGCTGCCATTATGTGCAGAGTGCTCTGAAATCCTTGCAACTCGCATTCAAGGATTCCGTCTGCAGTGGCCCGGAACGCAACCTTCACCATGCCTGGGCGAAGTCTTCTCCTCAGGTCCGTCTCTGGAGAGATCAATGACCTGAAGAGCCACACAGAGGCGTTGAGCTACGCGGCAGACGCTTGGCTGGTTTGCATGTCAAGCACGCCTCGTCGCTCGCGGCCTCGGAAACACAAACAAAGCAATGCTCCGAACAGCTCCTTAGGGCATCTGATCAACCCCATCTGAGAGGCAGTCGCTGGATGGCTTTTTGTCCGTCCTCTGGGCAGTAGTGACAAAGCTTCTGTCGCCGAGCAGCAAGACTGAGGGCGTGGCTTCGACTTCATCTGGGTTTCGGCATACTCGGAACCTGCAGCTTTAAGCTTGAATGCCCTCGGCCCCTGTCAGCACCCAAGTCTCCTCTGGTCTCTTCTTGTTCACGCGCTGGCTTGCTCTTCCGCAGCGAAAGTTGTTGTGAGCTTTCTGAGCATCCGGCCAAACATGGAACCATACCGAGAGCTGGCGGAATCCTGCGTGCATCAGACCATTTACTGATCGTCCAGCTCAAACACAGACCCTGAAAGGGGCCCCTGGCGGCCCCTGTGTAAGGATTGATGCTAGATACAGAAGAAGCCCAAGGTGAAGTGAGTGAAGTGAAAGACTCGCTCCTTGCTGGGATCCACGAAGCCCGGCGTTCCTGCTGTACTCGACCTTCGATCGGCCACGCCACGAATTCTACCGCCCTGGAACTTCTTCGAGAAGAGCTGCAGCTGATATGTCTTCACGGTTGGCTCATTCGGAAGTCGCCTTTACTTGGAGATTGGGCCCTACGGAGGGAGGGTCGATGCTATAGTTCGCGAAAGCCCATTTCACCATCTTATCCAACTCTGCATTGTTCCCGTTGTGATCTTGGTCGGCCGAGGGCTTGATCTGCAAGTTTGCTCCCTACCAAATTTCTCCTTTATCTCTCTTCCTTCATGTCCTCATAAAGGGCGAGTCGTGGCGTCTTAATACGATGACGCAGATCTCAGATGTGCTTGACCGTTTAGGTTGAGGACGCCAGGGTTTGTTCAGGGCATGTTTTAGCTGAGCATGCGCGCATATAAGCCAAGGAGTGGCTTGTTTGATTCAGCATCATGCATCCGGCTCAGTCCATTGCCCTGGCGCTTGCTGCGACATCTGGAGTCTTGCTTGCTGGGACTGGAGGAATGCTTGCAAAGCCAGTGGTCACAGAGCCAGCCACCAACGAAAGGCCAAAAGAAGCCAAGGTTCAGTATCCTGAATGCCTTCATCTTCAGATACAGGACCTGGCTTTGTGCAGCTCTTACAAAACTCCAGTGGCCAGCCCTCGATGCAACACGCCTGGCACTTGGCCGGCCGTGGATCTGTCCAGGTACTTTGTCTCTCCTGCGAGCACAAAGCTCCAGTCTGAAAACAAAAGCTCGTCGGGCTAGTCGTTCGCAGCTTCGAGCGGCGAGCGCTCTCTCTATCTGTGAGGTCATGGTCAGTCATGATGCTGCGAACCGCGAACACTCCGCAACTGTGGCTTTGAAGCCAATTCAACCTCGTGCCTCCTTGTTGAAATAGAACCTGTTGCCTTGCTCGTCTTGATGTTCAGACCTGCAGCAAACAAGATGGATCCCGCTGCGCCCCGTAGAACTGGCCCTCCGAGGTGGAAGCCACTTTGCTACCTCCTTCTGAGTCTCCTAGAACAACGCGACAAGCAGTTGCAACATCTCAAGTCTCAAGGAATCGCCATTCCATCGTGCGCTGCAGACGTCTGCAGCCTGGTCCATCTGTCGGACCTCTGCCTGTAGCTTTGACAGGGCTTCCGTTCGTTCCTGCAGTGTGACGAAGATGCGTTTGCGTGCTCACTGCTGTCGCTTGGCCGCGCGATCCTGCACCGACATGTTCGAGTTGCGCAAGTTCACGATGGTATTGTAGGTTTCTCGGTAGACGTGCTCGAGCGGATGCGTCCTGATGGTCAGTAAGCAATGGGTTGGCCTACTTTGCCAAGCAGATGCCAAAATGCTCTCAGGAGGAGGCCAGGAGCTAACTCTGGTCGACGCATTGTAATAGAACACTCTGTCCTGGGACGGGGCAGTCCCTCAAGGCATCTTGGAGTCCACAGCTGACTTCGAGATGCAGACACTGCTGTCGAAATGCTCCGTCCAGTCGGAAGGAAGCGGTGCTTCCAGGGCCTTCTTGAACATCTTATCATCAGCGGCTCACCGACGTAGACTCCCTTCAACGTGGCATCTTGGGACCTGCCTCTACAGCTATCCACAAGAGATCGTGGTCCGCGACAGGGTCGATCCCCAAGTAGCGGGCGTACCTGAGAAGCGCTGGGGCAAAGTCTGCACCAACGGATGCGTATGCGTACGATCTGCAGCTGTGAGTTTGTGAGTCCTCTTGGGCCCCAGCGCTATGAGCTCCGGCCCAGAAGGCTTCAAACCCTGCCATAAGACTCGTTGTCTCGGCAAACTCTCCACGCAATGTCTTCCCTCAGGCTGACAGATCGGATAGGACAGGCATCACTCCGACACGCACAACAGCACACTGGCTGGCTTCTGCAAATCTACATCTCACGCGTGGATGCAGGGAATCTCAGGCTTGGATATCGAACCGCGTACGAAAGCGAGTCCGACCCTGTGCTGCCATATGCTGCCTTTTTGGCGAACACCACCCACCACCAGCACAACCAGCACAATCAGCACAACCAGCACAAGCAGCACCACGAGCAACGGGCGCTTTGCTAGCTTGTGCCATGCGCAGCAACGAGACGTCGATACGGGCCGGAGACTCAGCTTTGCTTCGCTCTGCCTGACGCTGCTGATTCTTCGTCTTGCTGATGAAGTCGTTCACGGAAAGCCCCGCCTCGCGGCTCGTGAACACAGAGGTGTCTACGTGAGCACCGGGAAAGGTGTCTGTGTGTGTAGGACCACAAATTGCAAACGACATTAGATACCTATGCATCTTACACATTGAGGCAGATGCACTAATATTGAAATATGGACGGGCCCTCAAGCTGGTTCAAACGCAGCCTCATGCTCGCCACCATCTACACATACACATCTAATTAACTCTCTGTTCATCTCTGTTCTATATACGTCTGCGCTCATGCGAACATGTAGGTTCATTCACTTGTGATGTGACGCTTGTCTCGAACCGCTGACTACTGAACACAGTAGCGCTGGAACCTTGGCACGGGCACTGGCACTGCAACCGAAGCCCTGCCTGGACCCGCGTTGCCGCCTCGGAAGGCCGCGTGCACAGCTGTAACTCTCCCTCTTCGTCTCTGGGGCCAAAGGGCCCACCCGAGTTGTTACGGGAAATGAAAGGAGAGAAACTCTCTCTATTGACTCTATGGCTTGCGTGCTCTCTCGAAGGCATTGGGAGTGTCTGAAGCCCTCGGAGCCGAATGCCCACGCCTTGTCGGATCTTTGGGGGGCGGGAAATACGGCATGATGCAGTCGAAAGGAAACTTCTCTCACTTGAGCGCTTCGGGTACGATGAATGGCTTCCTTACCGCAGGAGGGCTTTGACTCAAGCCAACTTCTCATCACGTTTGCAGGAATTGTTCAGCGAAATATGCGTGAAACTGCGGCACATGGACGCAGCAACCGTGCTGACCTGAAACAGGGTGTCACCAAGACTTGGCAAAGTGCTGGCAGACAATGAAGACCCGGTTTGAGCTGACAGGCGATGTGCCCTACCAGATCGCCTGATGCTAATGTTGTTGTGCAAGTCATAGAACCAAGGACAAGGTCATCGGAGACATGTTGAAGAGACACAGATGATATGGGCGCTGGACCCCAGAGCGACTTTCCGCCACTGGCTTCGCTGCACCCATGCCTCAGTTTTGTGAGCTCGCGCAAGTCAGAGCTGTTCGTGTCTGTATATACATGTTACCAGGTGTGTGTGTGTGTTGTGATATGTGTGTACATACATATATATATATACACACACATACGTATATATATATATATATTGCACATACCATTACATATCGCACTCCCAAACTCTCGACCAGCTTATACTCCCGTTAAGGATGGAAGTTACAGATCCCTTCCGAAGTTGAAATCTGACCAACCCATCACGTCAGCCTCACCACGGCGCCCCAGCGCAGCTTGTGTTGTTGTTGTTGCCCTTATCTTGCGTGTGTGTCGGTTGTGGCTTTTGTAGGCGGGCCGTGTGTGTGTGTGTGTGTGGGTGGGTGTGTGTGTGTGGGGGTGGGTGGGTGGGT